CTGCCTTGGCCTCCTAAAGTGCTGGGATTACAGGTATGAACCATTGCACTTGGCCAGATTTTTTTTCTTTTTTTCTGAGATGGAGTCTCACTCTGTCGCCCAGGCTGGAGTACAGTGGCACAATCTCGGGTCACTGCAATCTCTGCCTCCCAGGTTCAAGTGATTCTCCTGCCTCAGCCTCCTGAGTAGCTGGGATTACAGGAGCCCACCACCATGCCTGGCTAATTTTCGTATTTTATTATTATTTTTTTTCTTTACCTATTTTTGAGACAGATTCTTGCTCTGTCACCTAGGCTGGAATACAGTGCTGTGACCTCAAATTTTTGTATTTCTAGTAGAGACAGGGTTTCCCCTCGTTGGCCAGGCTGGTCTCTAACTCCTGACCTCAGGTGATCTGCCCACCTCTGCCTCCCAAAGTGCTAGGATTACAGGCATGAGCCACCACGCCCAGCCCCAGTGTTGGAATTTTAAGAAGGTCTGGCTTCAATGATGTGGTCTGAAAGGCTGGCAGGCTATTTGGATATGGGGGGACTGGCCAACTGGTTCCTGGCTGCCTTCTCTGTCATGCCTACACACAGCTAAGAGGGGACCCTCTAGCCATCTCTCTATGGCAGTTCGATGAGAGAGCACACACCGCTGCTCAGGATCATTACTTTTGTGCCTGCTGATGGAACTGCTGTCTGTCCTTGGCCAGACAAAACAGACCCAACCTTCCTTGGGAGTCCACGGGTTCTGAGGATGCACACGCATGTGGGCTAGACGGTAACCTCTCCTCTCCCGAATCTGGGGGAAGGCAAGACGCCAGGCGGACTTCTCTGCACCCGGGTCTAACTGCCTACTGACACCTCCACTTGGACTGGCCTGGCAAGTGTCTTCCCATGGTCCTTCCCAAACTGGCAAATGGAAATGCCATGTTTCTCCTTAAGCCAAAAGCCTTGCAATCATCGATGGCTCTTACCCTCAACTCCACACATCAATCTGAAGGGACTCTACCTTGAAACATGACCACCACTGACCACCTCAATGCTGCCATCCTGGCCTGAGCCTTCATCACCTTGCCCCTGGATTATAGCAACAGCCTCCTAAATGATCTCCCTGCCTCCACCTTCGCCCCCATATAGTCTGCTCAGCAGGAATCCTGCAAAATTTAAGTCAAATCACATCACCCCTCTGCTCAAAACCTTCTGATAACTTTTGGTTCTATCCAGAGTCTTCACAATAGCCTATGAGGCCCAACACGACTGGGCCCCTGTGCCCATCACCTCTCTGACCTAATTTCCTACTTTCCTGGGTTTTTGTTTGTTTGTTTGTTTGTTTGTTTTAAGGCAGAGTCTTGCTCTGTTGCCCAGGCTGGAGTGCAATGGTGTGATCTCTGCTCACTGCAACCTCCACCTCCTGGGTTCAAGCAATTCTCCTGCCTCAGCCTCCCAAGTAACTGGGATTACAGGCATGTGCCACCATGCCTGGTTAATTTTGTATTTTTAGTAGGGACAGGATTTCACCATGTTGGCCAGGGTGGTCTCGAACTCCTGACCTCAAGGGCCTTGACCTCCCAAAGTGCTGGGACTACAAGTGTGAGCCACTGCGCCCAGCGAAAAGCATGTTCTTGTATTCATGTGATTGGTCTCTGACTGACGATGTGTGTTGTCTATGTTA